CAACATCTTCCAGTCTTCTTGCATCAACGTACGAACCTCTGAAAATTTCGCATGTCTGCTCTTGCTCGAGAGCTCTCCGCAGAACCAAATCGTCCTTTGGGTATCGTGCTTTCTTCTTTCTTGGTTGGAAGAAAAATGAATTGGCTCATGTCCAGTAATAGACGAACACCTTTTTCGTTCACTGATATACTCTCATTCTATATTGAAACAATCAGTGGGATGCAAATCCGAACCCTTGCAGCTTATACTGTCCCGAAGTGAAATAATTCGCCGCCTCGAAATCCGTGAAGTCGAGCATTACTCAAAATTCCGATTCATTTCTTTCCGTTGGAATTCTTGTATATTGATGTCTTCTTTGTCGGTCAATTTCCATGTTTTCTGGAAATGTAAAACCTGCGTCACTCCGGGCCCGATTTTTCTTTAACGATCAATGGAAGCATGCCTGAACAAGCAACATTTCCTTCCACAGGGACGATACGTTGCAAGCAGAGACACGAATACCCTATGATATTACAGGCAGCCAACTTTTGAAATAATGCAAGAACCTCCATAACTGAAACATCGCCGTGAGTAACGCGAAAAGACCCAGCCCTTTGACCATGTGCCTGCCCCACCTAAGCCTGATATTTGACATCGTCATCCGCTGTTCAGGCTGTCCTCTCCATATATTGGCTCTGCAAGACTACACCGAGCTTCCAACAGACACAGATCCAGAGCTCGAGTCACTATCTTTCCTGCATACGCTCGAAGCGACAACCACAGTTCTCTATGAAGAGACTATTGACAAGATCGCATAGGAAGTTTTCCTCCCTAATATCCAAACACTCACTGTTATTAAATATCTAGAACATTTCACCAGACTCATCGAAACAAAGTCATTGTCTTCGCGTACCACCCCACGGCTCCTGTGCATGACAGTCGTGTCACTGCAATACCACGAAGATATCATACAGGAAATACTGTACACTAGCACATGCTCGAAACTTATCAGAGCGTACGGGGCAGAATTTGTTCTTCGCTGCACGAAAGGCGACATACTATTATGTCGACTCATCGATGTCCATCATTACCTTCGTGGCTCTCTGTCTTGGACGATCATGCATTGAGGTGTAAGTTCCTTGTCGTTCTTTCTTGTCGCGGTCTGTCTATAATGTTACTATATTACTCTCTTTGGTATCTCCTTATGCTGATATACTTAGCCATAGTTTGCATCGTTGAATTCGAGGGACTACCTAGATTTGACGAGTGAAATCCACGGGGAAAGCGTGCCACCACTGCAAGGCAACCAAAGTACACGCAGAATGTCACGATCAATATACAGTCAGGTAAACTCGATATGTTTTCCTGATCTTTGCCGATCCCGTTATCAGGTGTGGTCTGCCTCCCGACAATGCATGAACATGTCGGCCTGTAATTCACGGTGGTCATCTAATTACAGGCATTAATGGGGTAGTGGTAACCTGGGTCGTTGCCATGCGATGAGATGTGTATTCGACCCGCCGGGGGTTCGATTCCCCCTTAATGCATTGTTCATGGTTGGTGTCTTTTTGTCTTTCCCGTTTCTAAATTACATAAGACACATAGCTGAAATTACACTTCTTAGTGGTCTTGAACAAATCCTCAATCCGTAATGATCCCTCAGTCTCTATCCTCGTAACAAGTGCATACACAATCTCTACGAGACCCCTTGGCACTTGATCTTCTCCCTACCCCTAAGCTAAGGTCTGTCTGAGAAGTAACGTGATCAAGGTTGGGATTTTTACGACCATACTAGTCACATGTTTAATACA